GAGTGAGTTCCAGGACAGCTAGAGCTGTTACACAGAGAAACCCTGTCTCAAAATAAAAAAAAAAACAACAGAAAAAAAGTAAGCCCATCAGACCCAATCTACCCCACTGCCTGGCATTGCCAATGAAGTCCTTTTTTTTTTTGCAACATACTATTCATTTAAAGTATTGTTGACATTGTTAGCATACTACAAAAGCAGTATTAAGTATTGTAACAGAAACCACCTGACCACAAAGTTTAAAATGCTTATTTTATAGCCCAATAAAGAGACAGTTTGTTACCTCCTTCTTTAACAGACAGGAATTGACTATCTGGGGGCAATTATTAGTGCTTCCATGAAAGCAGGTGATAATGTATACTGAAGGTCCTAAGTCTTGTGTAATTTGAGTCCAGAGAGGAGGCCAGAAACTTAAATAAGCACTTTAAACTTAGCCCTGAAGACTGTAGGAAGCTTCACGTTTTTAAGCTGGGCAGTGAGATAGTCAGATGCAGTATATCTAGTAGGACAAGCTCTGGGGCCAGGAATCAGATGAGATGGGGTTTGTTTAAGATGATGTATCCATAGATTGGAGCCAGGGATTTGATCCAAGCTCTGTTACTTACTACCTGTGAACTTTGATTACTTTCTTGTGTGTTTCAGTTTTTCATGAGTTAAATGAGCAATAACAGTAATTTTTACCAGGTGGGATTCTTGTGAAGAGGATCTGTTTTAATAGGTAAAGTGCCAGGGTCAAGAGAAGTTCCCAACATGCTGTTAGCATTATATCCCAATGGTTATTCTGGATGCTGGAGAATGAATGTCTCAGGAGGAGAGAACCTGGATGATAAGGCCACAATAGTGTAAGCAGGAAGGCTGCTACAAACTCATGGTGGGGTAACATCATGACCATCAATACACCCTTATTGTCAGTCTCTATCATTGTCATCCTTTCTATCATTCTCTCTTTCAGGCCTTCAAGAATGCACTGATGAGTTCCTACTGGTGTTCTGGGAAAGGAGATGTGATTGATGACTGGTGCAGGTGTGACCTCAGTGCCTTTGATGCCAGTGGGCTTCCCAATTGTAGCCCGCTTCCACAGCCGGTGTAAGTATGTATGCCCCCTCTTCCTTTGCCCACCTCTTCCCATTGGCTCACACTCTTGTATTATCAGACAAAGCTATGGCTTTGTTGTGTTCTCAGGGTGCCTACCAAGATCATTAAAATCTCTGATGCTTCCCTTCTCCTTTGAGAAAGAAGATGTTCTTGGAAATGGAAATTGGCTTATACACTGAGTTTGCAGTGTATGGTATTTTAAAATGATGTTTTCTGAACCACTTTTTTCTTCTTGTGTTTACTCACTAAGCACTGTTCTGCGGAGCAACTGACTTGCTTTGCCAATGCCTACTTTGACTACTGCAGCTACTGAGAAAAAGAAACTACAGAACCTCTCTTATTTTATTCAATTTTCAGACAATAATCCCAGCTACCATCTGTGGATCTGTGACTGGGTCACAATATACATACCACTAATCAAGACAGAGACAATGTGCATCTGTAGGAGGTTGGTAGTGAGTTAAGATAGACAGAGGCTGAAAGTAAATAAGACATAGTTTAAAGCTAAATTAAAACCTAAAGAGAAACAAATTTGGCCATGGGGAGACTCATAGGCATGGTTTAGGTAGAAGTGGGGAGTTAATATTGAAAATACCTTTAAAGGGATCTGAATTACAACAGGAAAAGTGAGCTAGGTTACAAGCGCTAAGAATTTTTAGGCATATGGGACAGCATGTTGGAAGTACCTGACATCAGAAATTTATCTGAGGAAGCAAAGAAAGGTCATTTTGTTTGGAGAAGTGTGGTTAAGAAAAGGTGGTGAAAGGAAGAATAGTCTGGAGCCAGTATTTGCAGTCAGAGTCCCATAAATCACATGTGTGGGAAGACAGAATCCACACTATAAGATTGTGCTTGTAGAGATACTATGGTATAGAGGGTGCAAAGAAAGAATCTGGTCCTAGAATAGGCAAGGTTACCATGATGGTCCTGTCAGTGTCTTGTTATGTGCCTGTGCAAACTGTTTCCCTCTGGGGACCTTACTTTCCTTTTTGTGTGTGTGAAATGAGCAAATTGCACAGCATGGTTTCCAAAGACCAGTCTTGTAACAATGTTCAACAATTTTCTTTCTTATTGCTTTACAGAAGGATTTATTCCAAAATTCAGTCTCTTTTTTGAGAGAGAGAATATTAAGTACCAATTGGAGAGAGGAGGTTATTAAAAATTGACTGATGCATTCAGGAACTGAAGGGACTGGCAGGAAAGCACCTGTGTTTAGTCCTTGCCAATTTATTTCTACAAAATGAAACACCATTGAAAATGTAGTTTAAATAAATCAAACACTAACCAATTTTCATTGAACAAATACTATGAGCATAGGCTAATATATTGACTATTGTATTGCTTTGAAAAGGGAGATTTTTTATCTCTGATTTGTGGATGAAGAAACAGAAGCCTTGAAAACTAAAGTAGTTTATTTAAGGCCATGCAAAGTTGTGATAGCAGATGGAAACATGATTTGAAATTTGGATGAAATTTTTGCAAGTGTTTAGGTCCCTGGATTATACAAAATGGCAAATGAGCAAACTTGTTTGTCACTCCCCAATTAGGTTACGACTTTCTCCAACAGTGGAGCCTTCCAGCACTGTGGTTTCTCTGGAGTGGATTGATGTTCAGCCAGCCATTGGGACCAAAGTCTCTGACTATATTCTGCAGCACAAGAAAGTGGATGAATACACAGATACTGACCTGTACACAGGTAAGTACTTCTCCCTTTATGGGGGAGGCGGGTATGACAGAGGGTGAATCAGATTCTCTAATGTCTTTGTGGACTTCGTGTCACCTTTCTTGGAAGGCACTGAGAAGTTTTGGAGTGATTTTGAATAAGCAACTACAATAATTTGTATGTACAAAGAGTTCCGATGACTTGGACTGCCACTGTCTTGTGTGATTAGAAGATTACTCTTTTTGAAGAGGATTGGACCTTTCTCCATGTGAGAAAGCCTACAGATCTTGGGTTTGAAAATATTTATGCTTAAATATACTCTTCTGGGTTTGAGAATACTCAAGCAATTTCCAGTCCTGGTGAGATGTAATGGGGGTAGTCTTTATTAACTGGAAATGATGCAAGAATGCAGGAGCTTTGAGGAATGCGAATTTTGACTGTCACTGAGAGCATTAAGTCTTCATTATGCTATGTACCTGATATTGCAAAGCAGATTTGAACTCTACTGTGAATCTATGCCATACACTCTGTTGACACTTCCAGGCAATCATTATTCTTTTACAGCCAGAAAATTGATTGGGCATTTTCTTTCTGTACCACACACTAACCTACCTACATTATTCAGCATCTCCCTGAATTGCTCCAAATTTAGAGGGATTAGTGCATTGTGCTTGTCTCACACATCATGAAATTGAAGCCAACCCAGGGATATCCACCTGGTGACATCTCCACAAGACCATAGAACAAAGCCAGGGTTGAAGCATTTTAAATTTAAAAAGTGTAAATTCTTGGTTATTCTGTTACATTAAAAACATAAGAAGAAGGGATGATATAATTCCTCAAATCAATTCGCATTCTCAACATCTACCATAAAGTATGTCCTTCAGTACTCCTGGGGTGAATACATAACAAAAGAGAAAAAATTAATTGTTTTATTTTTGTTTTGGTCTTTTCTTCTCCCTGACTTCTTTTTGTCTTCCTAACTTTCCTTTCTGAGCTAGTTTTGCTTGGATACCTTTCACGCAGGGAAGAATATAATATACACAGTAAGGATTAGGGTGTAGATGACAGGCGAAAACTCACTGGTTGGAAATTAATATTTTTATTTTTATAAGTTGTCTCCTGGGTGTGCTTAGGAACTTTATATCAGTGTTCCTAATGGAATTTGAGTTGCTTGTATGTTTTCATGTAATTTGTTCTTTTCTCCCAAAGTGCTGCCAGCTTTTATTGTATGCGTGTTAAGCTTAATTGTTTTAAACCATTTACATTTATTGTGAAATTGGTAAAACCATTAGCATCTTGTTCATTGTTTTCTTTAATCTTACTAATTATTTTATGCTTTACCACTTTTATTCTTTTAAATAATTTTATGGTCTCAGAATAACTTCTTCATTGATTTACCAAATGAGACTCTTCCATTGCTTTGTGTATTGTCTTAAGCTATAGGTTCATTTTACATTTTAATAATTTTGTTTTATTAGTATTTTTGAGAATTTCATATATGAGAACTGCATTTGCATCATTTCTACCCTATACTCTACCCCTTCCCATTTCTGCTATGTATTCCCCACGCCTGCTTAACTTTATGACCTTATTCTTTAAATATTACTCTCTTTCTCTGTTTCTTTCTCTCTCACACATACACACAACCTTCTGATTCCATTTCCTACTGTTTATATGTATATGCATTTAGGAATGAATACTTAACATTAGATGTCCTATCAGGTAACATGTTCCTGGAGAAAACTGGTTCTCCTTCTATTAGCAGCCTTTAATTGGCTATATCTCTTCTTCTAGGGGTGGTGCTATGTGTGAGTTCCTCCATCCACATAGGAATGTCAAATGGTGTTGCCATTGTTTAGGAGACAGTTTTGTTTAGATTTCATGCATGTAGCCCCCTGTAATTTATAGGGAATCATTATTTTATACTGGGCATCCTTTGGATCTTATAATCTCTTCACCTCTTTTCTGTTATTCCAGAGCCTTTGGTGCAGGAAGTGTGCTATAGATATATCATTTGGAGTTGAGAACCAATAATCAGTTGTTCTTTGAAATTTTTACTACTTACAATTTTACTACTTACAGGTAGTCTCCATCTGCTGGGGAAAAAAAGCTCCTTTGTGGCATGCAAACAACTACATTTAACTGTGACTATAAGGATAAGTATGTAAAATACAGTAGGGAGTTACACTGGCTTACGAAAGTAGTTGTAGTAAGCTTTCCTCTAGAGTCCATGACTTCACCAACCCCAGATAGTTGGCTAAATTTGCAGTATTGTGTGTGAGTTCCCTCCTATTGAGTGGGCCTTAAGTCCAATTAGGTGACTGTTGATTCTCCTAGGACATAGGTACTGTTATTGCACTCTTGGATCTATCTTGCTGTGCTTATTGTTGGTGTGGTTTACAGACTTTATATTTGGGTAGGAGCTTTAATGCCTTTCCCCCTTGCAACATTGTATAACACCCTTGGATACTACAAGAGTTCATCCTCAAGAGGAAGCTTCCAGGTCAGTTCAAACTTGAGTCCTCCAAGTTCTGTGTCTGATGTGTGTGGTGTTTTCCCCAGTAGGGGCATACCATAAAGTTTTGGGGGACAACCTAGGACACTGGCAAAACCTATATTGTTTTGGGAGTCTCTTGGACTTCTCTGAGCAACTGCACAAAGGCAGGTTTCTCATGCCTGGAGCTAGAGTTTCCTAAATTGTCTGTGGCTTTGGGTTAAAACATTATCAGCCAAAGCAGTGTAACTTTGTTTAAATAATTTTATATATTCACCTCTACTATATATAATATATTTATATTTAAGTGAACATGAAATAATTTGTTACTCTTTGGCTTTTTAAATCACCTTTAGTGTTCTGTTGCTCTCCTTCTTCCCTTTAACTCAGTGTTGTCCTCCCTACCACCTACTCAGAAAAAGCCCACACCTTATTTTTCCCATTTTCTGCTTCATAGCACTTGTGCCATGTTATCCCTTTATCTGGGGTTCCCTCTCATGGCCCCTATTTTACTTTTCTTGTTTCTGTAGTTCCTTCATGTTATATGCACACATATAAATATTTTGTGTTAGGATCCAGAAAAAGTGAGAACATATTTGTCTTTCCTAGCCTGGGTTACTTCTCTTGGTAAAATATGGTTTAATTACATCATTTTACATGCAAGTTTCCTGATTTCATTTCTTTTTGTAACTGATCTATATTAGATTTTGGATATATAACACATTTTCCATATCCATTCATCTATTGAAGAACATAGTTGTTGCTTCCATTTCCTATCTATTGTCAATAGAGCATCAATGAAAAGAGCTGAACAAGTTATCTGTGTAGTTGGATACTGTTGTCATTTGGTGATATGCCAAGGAGTTGTATAGTTGGGTGATGTAGTAGATCTGCTTTCAGCTTTGCAAGAATTCCCCACACAATCTCCAGGGTGGCTTGACCAGTTTACAGTTCCATGCACCATTTTGAAATCTTATCAACCATGAATGAGGGACCCTCATTCCCACATACTCCCCAGCATTTCTTATCAGTTGTTTTCTTAATCCCAGTCATTCTATTATGAAATCTCAAAGTAATTTTAATATGCATTTCTATAATTGCTAAAGATGTTGAACAGTTTTTATTTCTTATAGTTCATATCAGTCAGTGATTCACTCTAATTTTGTTTAGAAGATAACATTGCTGGATATAAACTTTAGTGTTGATAAATTAATTTTCCCATAATTTAAAGATGCTACTCATTTGTCTTCTTCTTTGTCTTATTCCATGTGGGAACTAAACTATAACTCTTAGCCTGGTTTCTCTGTATGTGCATGATAATTTTCTCTAACAGCTTCTAAAATTCTCTTTATTACTCATTTTGAACAATTTTGGTATTTCTGTCTGGCATTTATTGACCTTTCCTAAATCCGTGGGTTTATAGTACCATCACTTTGGCCATTATTTTGTCAAATAGGTTTAATCCCTCCTCATTTTTCTTCTTCAGTGACTCCAATTACATGTGTATGCAGCCAGTTGAAGGTATTATTCATCAGTGATGTTTGCTTTATTTTTATTTTTCTTTATGTGCTTCATTTGGATAATTTTTCAAATTGTCTCTTGTACCTTCTCTAAAGTCTAATCTGTTTTTAATTTTATATAGTGAAATTTTGCCTTTGGTTTCCTTTTATTTCTTGAAAGTTATGTATGGATATATTCACTACCTTTTTTGTTGACTTATTTTATTTTGTTAAGACAGATGCTCTGTTCCCTATGAAGCCATTCCTGGCCTTGAAGTTTTGGTCATTTTGTTCATCCTTCTGGGATGATGTTACAGGCATGCTTTTCCATGCTTAGACTACTATTTATGATTTTACATTTGATTCTTTATTTGGAAGTGTGTGCACACTACTTAGGTGTGTATATATGGAGGATAGAGGGCAATTTGTTGTAGTTGGTTCTCTCCTTTCATCATGTGTGTTCTGGGCATCAAACTAAGGTCATCAAACCCTAGTGGAAAGTGTCTTTACCCATGCCATATTACTAGTACAATATTTTTCACATGGAATTTAATTTTAAATTTCTTTTTGCTAATTCTAACATCTGTATCAGTTCTGGGTTGGATTATTGATTCATTTTTTTTTTACCTCATTACCGATTTCAATTTTCTTGCTTCCATTTGTGTACTTGACCTCCCCTTTCTGTGGTGTGTGTGTGTGTGTGTGTGTGTGTGTGTGTGTGTGTGTGTGTGTGTGTGTTTACAGTATTCATATTTTCATAATATGGAGGTCAGAAAAAAACTTCTGGGAGACAGTACTTTCCTTCCATTGTAGATTCTATAAATAAAATTCATATCATTGCACTTGTTTGGCAAGTACTCATATATTCACTACAGTCTTGCCGACTTCATACCAGGTAATTTTGTATTAGCTCCCAAGCACTATACATTTTCTCCTGTTAGGTACTAGACTTGCTCAAATTCTTTTTGTGTTTGTGTGTGTGATTTTTTTTTATTATAGTTGGGTTGGAATTTTCCTTCTAGGACTTTATGTAATGC